CACTGAGGCAGGGAAGAGAAGGAGCTGAGGCTCAGTGCAGAAGGTGCCTGAGGCCGGCAGGCATTGAGGTCCTTTGGGTCTGACCAGGCAGTCCCAGCTCCGGCCCGGCCCCTGGCCCCTCCCCACTGCCGGCCAGAGTCACACATGTGTTTTCCTGTTTTCCATTTTGGTCCCCGTCACCCTCTGCCTCTTCTGCTCCTCAGAGTCAACAGCTGCTGCAGCACGAGCCATACCCTTGGTCCCCCTAACTAGCACCTTCCCCTCCCCCCAGAGCCTGCTGGTAGCCCCTCCTCCCTTCACCTGCCCAAAGGTCACGGGACAGGTAAGATGTGGGAGAGGAGGGACAATGGGCGAGAGGGGAAGTGCAGGAGGAGGATGGAAGAGTCTTGAAACTCGGCAGAACAGAGACCCAACAGCCTCTTGATTTCTTGTCCCAGCGCCAGTCCTCCCTGGGCAGGACACTCTACCCAGAGATCTCAGCCCTTACTTAATGGAAGCCCCGGTCGCAGGAGTAAACAATTTCTTTCTTGTTTCACTTTTTTTTTTTTTAAAGGGACTGTCTTAGACACCGCGAAATACAGAAAAACAAATGGAGAACTAGGAAGGGAGGAGCTGAGCTTCTAGCTTGGAGTGATGGGGCAATCTAGCCATACCAGAGTGTATCTGTTTTCTGTTTCTGTTGTTAGGGGAGGCAGCACATGGGGTCTCTGGGGGAGAAAGTGTTCTCCAGTAGTTCCCTGAGCTTGGCTGAGAAGCCAAGACCCTGAGCTCCGTGCTAGTTCCTAGAGGAAGTGTGTTTGGTGCTGCCATTCGAGGGTGAGGTCAAGGCCAGGGGCTCTGCTGGCTGCTTTGCCAGGCACTGCGTGCTGGGGGCCCTGCTGCCTGCTTCTCAGTCGGAGACGTCTTCCACAGGCTGGAGGGCGAGTGTGGTGTCCTGTAATCTTCACCAGGTCCTCAGACATGAGTGCACCTCAGACAGGATGCCAAGGGACGCTGTCATCCCATGGGGTTTCTCCTGTAAAGCCTGGGGTGGAAGAACCCCTTCAGGAACACCT